TATGACCTCAGGGATGAGAGTCGCGCGCTAAAGTCACTAGGCCAACACTGCTGCATATAGATAAGCTCACAAAATTTAAATAATTATGTTTCTCCCTAGGAACCGAATGCCAGCCAAAATAGTGCGAAGATAGATATTAAATTAATTAGTCATTTTAATTGGTTTTCTATTGCGGATTAAGTTAACATAGTTCCCTTAATATATAAATACTTTTATATCTATTAATTCATCGTTATGCGGAATTAAGCATTCCGCCAAATTATAAAGGGTGTATTAATTAATTAGAAGCCATAACTTGTTAGTGCGTCTTTGATTAAGGCGACGTCTTTGCGAGATTACCAAAGTATACATAATTAAGAGATTTGTTTGCTCAGCGTATTATCATACAACGTTAATCAAATTAATATGAATTGTTACAACAAATACTATATATACTAATGTATATACTTATACTTGGAAAATATTATAATATAATCAATAGAAATCAAAATTAATTGCAAAATATGTTGCTAAGCGCAAAACTCGAACGGTTGGATCTATTTGAGTTTTTTTTATTTTTTCCTTAAACTCTGAGGTTTTAATGGAGAGAAAAATTAGAATAATGTATACAAAAATGTGTTTAGTACGTAGGTTTTAATTATGGCTAAGCGAACAGACTCTATGGGGTAGCATAGCAGAATATTCCATACGTTGGTATGTATCTACTAAAAAGGTAGACTAAGTAAAATACTGACAACGCACTCGCGAGCCCTCTGGCATTGATTAACGTCAGGTGAGTCTCCTGCCCGTTTGCCTCATGTTCTATAAAAAAAAGTAAAAATTATATTAAGGAGAAACGAAGTTCGCGGGACATCTTATTATAACTATAAATTGATCTGTCATAAAATTATTTTTCATTTAACAAAATTATCGTATCGTATTTTACTTAATAACGTTCAGAATAACTCATTTTACCCAATCATTCATTCGAGCATCATTACATTCGTTCATTCATTCTGGTGTTATTCCTAATCGCACTCGAGATCTGTTAAGGAAATTGGCTGAAGCATTTTCCCTGCAACGATAGGATCTATCAGATTTAATGAAGCGTACACATTTTTCGTATATATTTATTAATTTATTTACACTTGGAAGAAGTATTTTGTTATGAGTACAATTAAAGTAATTAAAGAAAAAGGAGGGCAACTGGCGGCCTTATCGCTTTCGGGCGATCTCTTTAAGGAACTGTGAGAAAAAAAATTAAATTAAAAAAGGTGAGCGCAAGAAATGCAAAACTACATAATAATATTTACAACTTAGACATTAATACTGGAACAAAGCAAAGCATAAACACAAAAAAAAACAAATAGATAACAATTACGTTTTTGCGTAAAAAATAATTGAATATAATAAAAAACAAATCGATTTTCCGATAATCATAAATGGTAAAAACATTTCACAAACAATAGAACATCGACGCTATAAGCAATTCTTATGATAGTATTTTCTCGTTAAACAGTATTTGAAATATAATTCGCAAATGATAAGACGCCAGATTCTAAAACCTTCAGACAATTGTAACTTCAAGCTATAAATCATAATGTTTCAACCGTCTGTCTGGTAAGTACACTCAGTCAGATAATCGGGTACGTTTAAAAGCTGTCACCGGCTTAGCCCCCCTCGCGAAGGGGGTTGTGGGGGCACTTCACGTGCGTTTTGACGCGATTATCATACCCCGACGGTATCTGAGCGCAATATTGTTTGCAGGGATGGGATGTATGAAGGAATTGAAGAGGTACTTTAATTTTTTTGAGAATTAATTATTTAACTATACTCTCTATTATCTATTGTTCTGTCTGACATAGTGACGTCACTATTAATAAAGTGTGTAATTTATTAGCAAGATGTACATTTACAGAACTCATAATAAAACTTTATAATATACTAGTGGATCCGACAGACGTTGTCCTGTACACACGTCTTACGTACAAAAGGTGTCTAATAATGTAAATCATTCTGGACTGCACTCGAACACACAAAAAAATTTACTAGTTTAATTACGAACACATGCACAGAGGATTTATATATATACCAGATTATTTGAAGTTTAGATAAATAACCTCGATATCGACTGCAGTGTCATCTGCCGGGCTGATTTGTGAATCTAAACCAGAGTTCCCCAAACTTTTTTGTGTCGTAGACCCCTTGCCATCTTTTTCCGTGTTGGGTAGACCCTCTACTTACCTGATATTAATTTCCTGTAAATTTCTAACTGTATTGAAGTTTAGTGTTAAAAACTTAAAGTAAATACACATGTTAATTTATACATTTATTAATTGAATTTAAATTCAAACTACTCAAAATAAAATTTTGTATCTGTTTGTTTGAAATGTATATGTTTTGATATTATAAGATAGTATGATGTAAGTAAATATGTACTATCAGTGTATTTGTTGAGATCCACTATCGTGGACCCCCATTTTCATTTTCGCTGACGTAGACCCCTTGTAGGTTGTCATAGACCCCTAGGGGTCAATATAGACCACTTTGGGAATCACTGATCTAAACCATCACGGGCGCCATCCAAACACATACAAAAAAATTAAATCATATATATATATATATAAATATAAGTAATTTATTGATGACATAAATAAGTGAAGTATTTTAAGTATTCATTAAAATGTATTGTAATAAAAAAATATATTACGCAATTTCGAAACCAATGAAAAAGACCCTCTCTTTCTCTCGGGACTCAGTAATTCGGTTCGTATAATAGCTCTAGCCTCTTCCAAAATTCGTAGCTCCCATTATTCTCAACCACCCAGCCGCGAGCGACGTTTTTGAATCTGCTTCCTTTGTGACGGTTTTAATATGGAAATTAACGTTCGCTGCCGTGTGACAGGACACCTCCACAATTATTTATCCGTAAAAAGCTTTATCCCCTGGAAATAAAGTTCCAAATATGGTAATTTCAGACGAAAATCATTCAAATCTCCGTATTAAATCTGTTAATTCAATCTCTTATATCTCTCACATTAAATTAAATATTTCTAAGGAATAACACACATTTGAATGACTGCTTTGTAGAATCGATATTCGCGATTCGTGCTCCATTAAACTTTAAATAATCGGCAAATAAACAATTACTTAGGGTTTAATAAGAATCTAATCGCTCTGAAGATGTACATAAAAGAAAACACTTAGACAATATACAAAGCCAAAACATTGTTATTGTGACAAACATTATGAAACAGAAAACATAAGCAAATAAGTACATTAAGACATAACAAATAGAAAACTGAAATTAAACAACTTCATAATTTAAAGAAAAAAGTAAATTGTATTGAATTTTGACGTATAAGTCTCGCTTCTGAGTCTCTTATATATGTGTATATCTCTTATACGTAAATGTAAGCGTATAGCGTATTATTTGCAAAATACCAAAATCACTATACCAAAGAACTCATTAGTCACTGGATACATTTACAATGTTTCATTGATTCTAGTAGACAATTAACAAACGTAATATTAAAATACATTTGTTTTTTATTGAGGGTGGAACATATTTGCTCATCGTCGCGTACGTAAGATTTCATCACGCTTCCACTGTTTGAATAGATACATTGTACTCCCCTACTTCCCCGCAACTCCCCATCGCCCACCCTATTGTCATACAAATCCGATATTGTATCGTTTTCACTTGAAAATCGTTCAATGATATGGTAATGTGACATTTAATTCCTATTTGAGGGTTTATTAGTATGTATGTGTGCAACCACAGGGGATTATTTGACCCCGAGAGCTATCTATCACTTCATATAATTTTTCTTTATTGAGATTTATATTACAGATGCGAATTAAAGATTTATGTTGACGCGTGGTAGATAGTATCCCAGCGCTGGTGCTTTCCTCACTCCACGAATAAGTACCGCAACACAGCGAGCAAATGCTACATTGAAGGTACACTACCACGACAACCAAACTTTTTAAATTTATTGTAGTTATCTATCTCTCCATGTTCATCTATTATTAATATGTAGATTGAGAGCTTAGATACTTTTTACACAAGATAATTAGCAACACATGTAGTGTAAAATATATTATTTAATAATGAAGACACAAGCCAACTTATTAGAAATTATATATTTCTGTATAAGAATAGGTTGTCACATCTTTCATATACATTGCAAGAATAAAATAAAAAGTAGTTATACAATATATATAAGAAAGATAGTTGTTATAGATAAATGCATATATTTTATTTTACTAGTCGGTAGTGCTGTCACACGTTCACTTTTATTCAAATCGGGGTTTGAATTAAAAATAAAGAAGCAGCTGAATCCGAGCCTCCGTACGGATGTATGACATTCATCGGAATATTGGCAATAAAACGCCATCGAGCTGAAAAATCGATGTCGACAGACGAATGAGTACTATATACATGAATATATCAATGAATCTGAATAGATATTGAAATATAGATACGCCTATAGTCTTTTTTTTTTTTTTTAAAAATATAGGATATGGATATAGTTTCTCTCCCGATTTTGTTTTTTTGTTCTTTTAAAAAAAAAAAAAAAAAAAAAAAAAAAAAAAAATAAATATATAATTTAAAAAAGAATCCATCTTACACAGAACAAAATCGTTCAACGTTAACTAATGTTAAAATGTACGGGTTACTTACACATTAAGCACTGTAGGAGCTATTTTCGTAATTAATATAGCAGTATTGGCCTAGTGGCTTAAGCGTGCAAGTTGCGACCTCATCCTCATCAAGTCCTGCATTCGAATCACGGCTGTGCACCAATGTGAACTTTCTTTCTATATTCGCAATTACTACTTGCTACTATGGTGAAGACAAACAAAAAAATTATAAATAATAAGTTGTACGCACAAACGGCTACTTTACCTATATAAATATATCTACAAAATAAAATCAATACAAATAGAGAAGAATTTATGAATCGCCCTATGTATTTAGGTACAGTTAACATTTATTATGTGTTTTTTTTTCAGAAATGAGTTCAGTTCAAGAAGAGAAGCTTCCAGAAGGAACTCAGAAGACCCATGTCCGGGAGCTTCGCAACACAGAGTTGGTATCGAGATTGTTGGCTGCAACACCACCTTATCTCTACAGTGCTCTACCCTTGCAACCTCATGCTTTCTTCTTCAGTGAAATGCTTCGATCCTTTGTCAACGCCTCGCCAAGGTTGTCGACCACCGCACTATCACCGCCGTTTTAAGCGCAGATCTCAAAAATACTTTGCTGAAAACGAAAACGACTGGAGACGTGATTGGGCAAAACAGGAGGAAGAAAAGAAAGAAGAAACAAGACCAGAAGTTCCCCTAGAACTAACTGTGGATAAGCAACCCAGCGTTTGTGATCCGTTGCCTAGAAGACTTTCACCTAAACCTGAGCTGCCAAAGTCGAATGAGAGTCCTGGACCCCCTGGACGTCAATCAACATTCGTCGATGTGGGTACGGAAGAGCTACCAAAACCATCTCCATGCATCCCAAGAAATATGGAACAATCTGTCCCCCAACCTAACCTGATCCTCCCACCACCACCTCCCATGTGGTATCCCCCAATTTATAACCCCCAATTCGGCGTAGACCCTCTTAATTTTTTCATTGATTTACGCGTATCAGGACATATATATGATAGAAAGAGAGCTGTAGAAGATCCTAATACTTCCGAAACCCGACCAGAGGAGCCGCTAGAAAAACGATTGGGCAAAGATTTTGGGCAAAGACCTAGACATTTATCAGCTTTTTCTGTACCGGTGCGCGGTGCGAATGCTGAGGAGTATTTTGAGAGGAACGGTGGGTTCAATAAAACTGGTGCTTCATATGTTATGAAGAATTTAAAACGCGTCTATGATGGTCTTCATAATCACGAACATAGAGAAGCTAAAGTTAGCAAAAATGACGAAAAAACCTCGGATGTTGACGATGAACAAACATTAACCGATTAAAAAGTCTAGTCTAGTCCTTTTCAATTTTATTGTATATCGTGAAGATTTTGAGATGTAAATAATAATAGTTATATTATCAATTTATAATTCTAGTCGTCATTTATAAATCTCATAAATAAATCTCCTTTTTTCATCTACATGTCATATTAATGTAAAGTTTACTTGTTAAATACTAGTTTAGGTCTCTATATATTGAATAGTTTAAAATGTTATAACATTCAATTTGTTCAGATTTGAGTCAGTCCCAGCTGTTCACAGAATTTGAAAAAAAATGTTTCTTATTAATAATGTGATTTTCTCGTACATACTTTCCAAGACAAAAATCTCTAAGACGTAAGCACTTAACAGCCGCAGGCACCCTTGGATTCGTCTACTGTACTGTACTTCTCTGTATGTACTAAATAATTGTCACGTATAAATATTTATATAGTAAGCTATACCAATTGTATAGATTACAACAATAACCGTTCTTAAATGTATTTTATAAAATATTAACCCTAGTAGTGAGTTTCTAAAGATTACTGAGTACTAATTACGTTTTTTTTTCTGTGTCTATATGCTGTGTAAATTATTCTCAGTTTAAGTAATGCTATGCTAATGATTTAATAATTATATTCCTGTTAAACAATTTGTTTTATTTTTTTTTCCTCTTATACAAACTATTTATCCACAGGCTGACGTTTCTTGTACAATCTAATTCTTGTCAACGAAAAACTGACTTCATTTGTTTCATTCAAACTAATTCATAACTGATGAATAGTTAAAAATATGACTTTGAAGTCAGCAGCTAAAAATTACGCGTTAGTAAGTTCGACCTGATTTCAATTTTCCGAGACCGCTTCTATACATCCGATCTCTAAAAAAGGCGATCCCTAAGATCGGACCAACTATCGACTAATAGCTATTGTCACCTTGTTCTCTAAAATAATGGACCCCATGATTAACGGGCAGCTAAGGAACCTAGAGTGCCACCAGATTAGCGATTGTCAGTACGGCTTTCGTCGCGGTCGCTCAGCTGGTGACCTTCTCGTTTACCTTACACATAGATAGACATTGGCAATAGAGTCCAAGGGGAAAACTCTGACGGTAAGCGTGGACATACCGAAAAATCACAATAAAAAGTAATAGTAATATTTTATTAGTTTCATTTACTCCAATTGTCCTATTTCTAGAAATACTAATAAAAATAAATTATGCTTAATTGGGTTCATAAACTTGAATTACATATATAAGTGTGAAAAAATACTATTCAAAGTTTATTAAAAACGATCGATAGTAATTTGAAATTCTGTGCAAATTACGCGCGTTATGTTTATAATATTATATTAGTGTAACGATCTCCACGCAGAGCTAGTGCGCTGAAATGACGAGCATTGAGTTTTAACTTTTAACTCTATTCCCTACATAATTATAAATTTATAATGAAATGCAAAAATAAAATCTCTTATCCGATTAAAGTAAATTACCCTCGGCAAAAAAATATTTTGTTATTTTTGCCGAATAATTATTCGTTTATTATTCCATGAAGTACTCAAACACCCAACTCGGTCCCCTAAGTTTTCATTCCCATTGCAAAAAGATAGTACCAAAACACACCCAATAAAACAATGCTCCACCACTAAATTGGGATCGTTCGGCTGCGGGCCTCGTTGGTGGGAGGGGATTAAGCCGCAAATAACTTAATATGGCATCATAATGCTTCATTTGGTAATAAGCCTACATTTTATGTCAATCATAGTGGTTTATTTACAGAAATAGCATTAATTTGCTCGCTAAATTTGGTGATCATTTACTACATTTGGTGTTCGAATACATTTGAAGTTCTGACTAAAATAGCTAGTACTATTGTAATTTTAGACGTTATTTATCTGGTGTTAAGTATATTTTTTGGTAAAAGAACTAGGGTATCAAGCTTTTATGGTGATCATTATATTTAACCCCAATTTATAATATTGTACTCTATGAACTATGAATACATGTTATATTTTCAGTACAATTGGTTTAAGCGCCATCTAATTGCAAATTATAGCGGCAATCGTGTAAGATGTGCAGTGTCATATAAGGAGATAAGTTAGTGTTAGTGCGTTTATAGTGTTTATTGCAAAATAATAGATTATCATACAGTTACATTACAATAATACATTTATTATATATACTGCTCAAAACAATTAGCGGAACAAGATTTTTCTCCTTTCTATTGCTTAAACTAAAATTAGATTTAAATTAACTTGTACGCTATTTTTTACCTTGTTAATTTGTTAATTACTTACTACAATTAATAAAAAAATTCAATTTGTATTTTTTTTATCTTAAAAAAAATCTTGTTCCGCTAATTGTTTTGAGCAGTATATAATCTGCCAACATTTAACATTAAACTGACTCACTTTTGGTTTTAAGGTATAATATATTGGTAAATATACCAGTATATTTTCCTGTAAATATTTATTTAATATAACGTCATCCACCCGAAAATGTGTATTGTGTATTATTTAATTACATAACAAGCTATATAATAATTTAAATATATTTATATATATAACAATATAAATATATTTATATTATTATATAGCTCGTTAGTTGCTTGGCTAGTCTGTGTAATATTCCTAATAATAACATTATCTATGACTTTTAAAGTATTCATTTATTTTTAACACTGGCATCTCTCTCAAGTTCCCCACGCGATTGAAAACTTGATGTTGAATATATTATAATTGTATTGTTTCAATAATTTTCACAATTAGCGTAGATATAAAAACAAAATGTACGGACAACAACCAATTATAGTACTGAGTAAGTATTGAATATAAAAATTAATAGTTGATGTATGTATTTCACGAGAAAATTTGTCAGTTTAAAATTTACCAAATTTTAGGCCAAAACACAAAACGTGACTCCGGCCGGAAAGTTCAACTCGAAAATATAAATGCTGGGAAGGTAAATAAGTTTAAAAATACGTATATTTGTTAATTTTCATTATTCCGTATGATTTTCAGTTATAACTTTTGAGTTGTATTGTATATTTTAGACAATAGCGGACGTTATAAGAACATGCCTTGGTCCCCAAGCAATGTTGAAAATGTTGATGGACCCCATGGGAGGGATTGTAATGACTAACGACGGCAATGCTATCCTCAGAGAAATCACTGTGCAACACCCAGCTGCTAAAACCATGATAGAAATTGCGAGAACCCAAGATGAAGAGGTTAGAATGCTTATATTTGCCTATTCAAATTAATTTATTACTTACTTACTTACAGATGATTAAAAATACATTTTCATTCATTGGTGTCTAATTTTCGTTTGTTTTATGTAATTAATTAATGAAGATTTTTTGAAATATTATCAAAACTTTTATTGTATTTTACCTGAATTATTTAGCATCTTACCATTCTTTTATTATTTAATTTTGTTGTATAGGTTGGTGATGGAACAACATCAGTCATTGTACTAGCTGGAGAAATCTTAGGTGTGGCAGAACAATTCCTCGCACAAAATATTCACCCTACTGTCATTATTAGGGAATATAGACAAGCCCTTGAAGATGCAGTTAAATTGCTGCAGGAGAAAATATCGGTTCCTGTAGATTTGAATGATAAGGATAAGATCAAGGAAGTGGTAAGTTTGAATAACTATATATCTTTAAGTGTTTAAATCCTTTGGCATGAAGGGAAGTGCAAGTTTATAGTATGATTACTGAAGTTCAACAGTAAATAATCTGTGACCCCTCCAGTGTTCAGTGTCAGGTTAATATATACTTAGTATTCTTAAAAAGTAGTATCTTATTAAGATTATTATTTTTCTAATACCTATAAGTTATTGTCAATTAAGAAATCATTTCCTATTATACTATTTGAAATAATCACCCTTTTTACATTATGATTCTAATTTAAATAATGTTTTAGATACGATCATGTGTGGGAACCAAGTACATTGGTCGCTGGGCTGATCTTGCAGTTGATATAGCCCTTGACGCTGTCAATACTGTCACTATCAATGACAATGGAAGAGTAGAGGTTGATATTAAAAAGTAAGTAATTGTCATTTGTTTCTCCCTACAGTATAACCTTATCATATCTCATGCTTAATACACTTTGCCACCTAACTATGTTTTTAACATCTTAGATATTGAGTTTACACTTACTCTGTATATCCAAGTAATTTAAAACTTAATTATGTCATGTTTATGCTTGTAGTATGTATGTTATAAATATGCTTGTAGTCTACATGCAATTGTTACAATACTTTTCAGCTATGCTAAGGTTGAAAAGATTCCTGGTGGGACAGTTGAAGAGTCAAAGGTATTAAATGGTATCATGATCAATAAGGATGTGACACATCCCAAAATGAAAAGATTGATTGAAAACCCTAGAATTATTTTATTGGACTGTCCATTGGAGTACAAGAAGGGAGAAAGTCAGACCAATATTGAGATTGCTGATGAACAGGTAATAATACTCTTTTGGTACTTTGTGTAAGATCAATGTTATGAATTGTATTTATCTTTGTAGCAAAGTCAAGTGTTTCTTAAGCAAAAACATGTTACTATGACATTCACAATTACTATAGTATACAACTGTGGCATGTTTCATATATAATTTTGGTATTAAAAAAAAATGTGAATAATAATACAAATAAATAAAAATAACAATAATTATTACCTCAAAAATTATTTTTTATCATAATTATTGTATGAACTTTGTACTGAAGTTATTTATGTTTTATAGTGCATGTAAAAAATGATTGAATTTACTTCATTAGATTATATTTTCCTACTATTTCACTACATACCTGATAGCCAAGCCTTGCCTTAGTATTTTTAAATACCTGTCATATCTTATAAACAATATAAAACTACTCTTTTAATATTCAATAAAATAGTCACATTAAACATAACATTAATGTCTTGTTCAGAATTTTACATAATATTAAACAGTATATTTGCTATTGTTTAGAAAAAGTAACATATTCATATTTACATTTCAAACAGAAACATTTACATATTTAACTGGCAGACGTGGGACATCATACAGTTTGTTGTAGAGTTATTATTAAAGTATAACAATTACTAATTCTAGGACTTCACCAAACTCCTGCAACTGGAAGAGGAGCATGTGCAACGTCAATGTGCTGACATCATTGCTCTCAAACCAGATGTTGTCTTCACCGAGAAGGGAGTCTCAGATCTTGCTCAGCACTATCTTGTTAAAGCTGGCATCACTGCTATTCGCAGGTAATTTTCTTAGCATCATGAAAGTGTTAATATGTATACTGGTATAATAACCATACTATAGAAGTGCAACTCTAAAGAAATATGTTGTGTCTATACACAACAACTGTTTGTTGTTTGTAATTTCATGTTTAATTTTCTCATATACATTATATTGCTATTTTAAAATACTGTCTCAAAACAAGAAGTAAGCTTTTGTAAAAGTAGCTCAACCTGGAGTTGTCATTGGTTATGTAAGTACCGCACAGTTGTAAAATGTTTTGACTGCTTTAAAATAACTACAGTCGAAACCGATTATAACGACATCGTTTAAAACGACCGATCGGTTATTACAGCTAGATTATAAAGTCCTGCCCGAATCTAGTAAACTATTCAGCAAACAAACCGCCTATAACAACATCGGATACAGCGACATATCGCTTACAACGACGAAACTTTATCGATATTCATCGACTATAACGACCAACCGCTTCTTATCCCAGCAAAACAAAACAATACCGACGATTTTAAATCTTATTGATAAGCATTGAAGCAATAATTAGGGGCGTATTATTACCTACGCATTTTCTACCACTACCTCTTCCCGGCCATTTGACCTTGCATATTTTACACCAATTCAAAAAAACAGACTAATATGACTGATCACTTTAAAAACTTATGTATTTAATAAAAAAAATAATAATTTATAAATTTAATGTAATAGGGAGATATATAGAGTCACACTTTACATATTATTTATTATTTGACAGACTACGCAAAACAGACAATAACCGTTTAGCCCGTGCGTGTGGCGCCACAATCGTTAACCGTACTGAAGAGCTCAAGGAGAGTGACGTTGGTACTCAGGCTGGAAGATTTGAGGTCAAGAAGATTGGTGATGAGTACTTCACCTTTATCACCGAATGTAAGAATCCTAAGGTAAGTGTTTTACTTCGAATTTATTATTATTTTCACATATTCATTATTCAATAAAGATTAACGTCCCATTTAATAGTTTACATAACTTAGTCTATTATGTATGTAAATTTATAATACTTGGTGTAAGCTGTAAATTTTTTATGTTTTGTAATTTCACAAACAAAAATAACTTGTTAGTTGATATTTATATATTTCCGAATGTGTATAAAATATGTTATAAAAGATATATTATTGTCTATATACAGTAAAATTGTTACTCATAAAGAAAATAATAAAAGCCCACAGGGTATATAATGATCTAATTTGCGTTTGTACTTCGTTTTTATAGCTGTAATTATACAAGTCCCTAAAGTTTAGTCGATTATCGTTATATATTTTCAAAATCTTTATAGCAATAGAATTATAAAAATATATAGTTCGTATCTCTAAAAATCTTTTGGGTCCTGGCAAAAACGACTTACTAAAATTAAAAAACAATGATTTTTAGAGCAAACAAGGCATAAGTTTAGTTTGAGAATATGGAATGAAATGTTTTCAGGCGTGCACCATCCTTCTACGTGGAGCCTCTAAAGATGTGTTGAACGAGATTGAGAGAAATCTGCAAGATGCTTTACACGTTGCAAAGAATTTGGTACGTATGTTTACTACACAAAATACTATTTTTATTCATTTAACACGAGTATGTCTTTACGAAGCCTGTGCTTCAGTAGATATTTTTCTATGTGCAATTGACAGGTCCTCGTATTTTGAAGGAAAATATCTCGAGAAAAAAACTTGCGATGCGGTCAATACTAATAATTAAGTAATAATACCTTATAATGATTAAGTGGGGCTGCAACTCAACCTTGTCATTTTTCTGCATTTATTCTTATTAAAGTGATTAACATGTCCCCACATTCCATTCTCAGGTTTGACACATTTAAACGCATGCTAAACTGTCATTGAAGATTAAAGAATTGTATAGAAAAGGCTTACTTTTATAAGAAATTGTCTTTTTCCAGGTTCTGTGTCCGCGTCTGGTGGCGGGCGGTGGTGCAGTGGAGATGGCAGTATCTCAGGCTTTGTCTGCTAACTCCTCACACAACACACCCTACAGGGCTATTGCTACTGCACTTGGTAAATATCAGTATCAACAGTATTGAGTGTTTGAGTGTGTGACCAACCAGGCTCCAGAAGATAAACCACTATCTATATGGAAATTGTATTCGCTTTTACAACAAACTCCCAAGCGAAATTAGAGAATTATCACTGAATAAATTCATTATCATTAAACGTAAATTAATCAATAAAGCTTTTTATAAATTTGACGAATACCTAAATGATCCTAATCCTTGATTTGCTCCAGTTCAAATAATTTGTATGACTCAAAACTTAGCGATTAAATTTATTTATTAACTACGCCCTTGACTTGCGAACTACTTACTACCAGAGTAAATGTAAATTTACAATTAATTTAACTTTTTTATTGACGTTCATAAGTGTACTTGTTTACCTATATGAATAAAGATATTTTGAGTTTGAGTTATCATACCATTTAATTTGTACATTTATTATAGTGTTGTTTCTCTAATATTTTATGAAAGAAATATCATTCATATGTTTTACTCCTTTGCGCTTAGGACATGTTTTTTTTTTCATTTATTCAAGACATAATATTTTCCACACCAACGAATAACTAATATTGCCAAAGCATTAATCTTTCTAGTATTTTCACTAGGATACTATTTATCCAAAACAAACTGGGTTTTGAAACTTGTTCTCAACTCATAAATAGCATTATTTTGGTTGTATCTTGTTGTTAAGATCTAACTAATATATATTATATGGTAGACATTTATGCTTGATTCACTTGTTCGAATGTTGCGGTAGTTGAAATATTTAGCCACTGCAATATTCAATTAAATCAAGCAAAACAAACTTGCCATTACCATGTTAAAAATATTGCCACATCATAAAATATATAATTTCTTTTAAATTACTTCCACATAGAGCTTCTCTACTTTTGTGTACTTATCTTAATTTTGATTTAACTTGAAAGTCCAATTTTGGCGTTTAGTGGCGAGTTATAAAGGTTCTACTGTATTACAGTTTTCACATTTCATATTATTATTATTAACAGTCTTTCTGAGTGTTACTATGTGTCAATAAACGATTTTGATTGATGTTTTCAGAAATAATCCCGCGTACGCTCGCCCAAAACTGTGGTGCAAACACAATTCGTACGTTGACTGCGTTACGTGCACGTCACGCGGCGGGCGCCACTGTTGCCAGCACTGCGGGCATCGACGGGGAGACGGGAGAGATCGTGGACATGGCTGCTAAGGGAATTTGGGAACCGCTGGCTGTTAAGTTGCAGGTATTTGTTTTTTAGCATTTACATGCTGAACCACTGAATTGAACACTTATGTTTGAGATGTTTAAAATCCTAAAGGTCCGTTTCATTGCTCTTTAAAGCAAGTGGATGACCAGCCTTATTTCTATATGTAAAGTAAAAAGTTTGTTACTGTAACGAGTGATTTTATTTTGATAAAATATGTTACCTCTAAAGCAGTCCAGTTGTGGTTATTGGAAACCCTGAAATGTGTTTGCATCATTAGAAATAAATGTTATGGATTGTTTTTAAGTGCTAAGATATAGGTTTAAAACCCTATTTTTCGTACAAACAAATTGAGATGAAATTGGTCGATAAATTTAACACCATTGCAAATTCATTCATACTAGACGGCGGCCAAAAACGGCAACGCCGTGGCTAGTTCGGTAGGATTAAAAGAATACCTACGGGATGTAAATATAATCGCTAAGTTTACTTGTGTCGAAATAATATCAAATTCAGATTAATACGATACTTTACTTTTTAGATGTTTAGAATTGTCGTATGAATATCGTGATATTTCATCGTAGAGTTCCTTTATGTAATTAATAGAATCACAAAACAGCGAGAAAGCTGCTGAGGTGCTTTTGACGTTTCTAAAATAGTGTGTATCGCGCAAATTTCTAAGAATTAGCGGTCTAATACCTAAGAGAAATGTAATTAGTAGGTTAATGTTTGATTAAATTGAGTCGAAAAAGTATAAAGTAAAGTCGAATTATTAAACTTAATGAAATAACCAAACGATTTTGTGATCTTACATTCCTATATGTAAACTGCATAGCACGAAGTGGCGCGCGACGAGCTTTAAACTAAGCTTGCATTGTTAAAAATTTTTATAATAGGCTAATATAATAGGATCTCCTTATGTGCATGAATAAAAATAAAAATATGTTTATTATGGAACAAAATACATGTACACTATTCCACGTATATTTCAATTTGTAGGCATCCCTACTATCGGCAAAGAAGACAGAGGGTGTTGGCCGATAGAAAAAGCCCGCGTAAAAAACTCCACTCTTTTAAAATAGCAAATCCTCAAACAACACTTATTTTAAAACAAATATCGAAATTAATTGGAAGTAGCCTGTCTAGCACTAGTCCCAGGCCCTTTTATCAACTAGATAATCGTTAACTTTATAGTAAGCCTTTCACCATTTTCTTACACAATTTATTTTCTTAAAGGGGCAGAGATAAAAGAGCCCTCTGGGATTTTTATTAAGAAAGGGGAGGTATCCCTTTCCCCAAAAAAAATTACTACTCACTTTCCCTTTAGACTAGGCCCTAGTACGGGGAAATTGCAGCCTGGTTGTTCCGTGTATCAACATTGTGCGTATGTTTATTCTAGTAAATTATCACTATTTTTGTATACATATAATTTTTCATAAATATATTGCGGGGAAAGGTAAGTATATTAATTTCCTTGAATTTATCTCTAAGAGATTCCCTCATTTTAAATTATAGATTGCACGAATAGCCCTCTTCTGCAGGATGAAAATAGTTTCGACATCAGCAGCATGACCCATAATAATAAGCCATAAGTCTTTTATCTTTAAAGTCTAAAATAAAGTACGACGACGCATGTACGACGATTACTACATAGAAATTATTATTTAATGTCGTACCAGTTCTTGTTAAATAAAACGTAATCGTCTTTAAAATATAAAAATAAATAATAAACCTTTGGAACAAATACAATATTATCCCTACATTGCATACTGTACCATATCTGGTACAATCAAAATAATTAAAGCTACTGTTCGTTTAGAGACACCTAGCGTCATTTGTCGGCCGACGGGGGAATCTTTACACCCCTAACAACGCTTTAGTAATGGCATGTGCCACCAGATGGTGTTAGCTATGATATTGTGATTCGTAAACAATTTGAAAGATCGTAGCGAACTCATGGTTTACGTAAATAGAAAATTCTTTAAAAAATTGATTTTTGAATATTTGGAAGCGGAAAAAAATATTTACATTGGATAAGGTTTTAGTAAGACTTACTGCTTCTTCCGCGAAGTTTTTTTACTCCTTTTTGCGGAATTTCACTATAACGATTAACTTTTTAGTGATGTGTAAGAATACATATATATATATATATTTGTTGGCATACATTAACTTACATTTAGTTGTACCTATAGTTTATTGGTGTTACTACCCCTAGGTTTTGTAGGTATTACCACTTTTATAATTCATATTGGGTTTTTATAAATCACAACTTATTTATTCGTAAGACTTAAGATTATTAAGCAAAAAAACGAATAAACATTTTTGTGACCAAACGGCTTAATACATTTAATTCAAATTTTGCAAATCATTTAAGATCATTGAGCTCTAAAGAAATATCATGACAAGGGCTACACTACAGATTATATAATTAAATATATATTACTGTTATGATAATAAATAAATTGACATTCGCTAAAGGGAAGGAAATGGGTATTTAGCAACTGAATCTATTACTAAAATTTATAATTTATTGCAGGTCTACAAAACGGCTGTGGAGACAGCGATAATGTTGTTGAGGATTGATGACATTGTATCCGGTTCGAAGAGGAAGGATGGAAAAGAACCCGCTGCGCCGGCGCAGATGGCCCAACAAGAATAAAAGCTTTATTAACTTGTATTACATAGCCGCTATGATTTTACTAAATATTTTAAAATAGTTAGTTTCAATATTGTGAGTTTTACATTGGCTATTTCTTACTTTTTTGGTAATATTCAATATATTACCGAAACCATCTCTCATAGAGTTGCATTTAATGTCAGCGTAAAAAAAACAGCCATAAAGTAGTTTTTTTTTTAATTTTATTGTAACAACTATTACACGGTTATGTAATACGTCGAATAAAACATATTAATAACTATCCACTAGTTTTTTACGCTAGATAACACTTAAAACTGGTGAGAAGGAGTCCAGATATGCTTTTCGCTTATAATATTATTAAGGTTGACTAAAATCTTTATATATGGTGAAAATATTTTCAAGAATTGCTAGATGCAAATTATTTCTCTAAAGATGCAGAATTCAGAGACAGTATTTTTGAAGATATGATCTGTACCAAAAACAAATGTTTGAAGATGTGAATTGAGATTTGTCCTTGTCACACAATTAACGTTAATAATAACTTTGTAGTTTTTAATCATTTTATTTAATAACCTTCTCGTTATTTATCTATGGTCAGTTTACTCGTGAGGTCGCGTTTATGTTACATGCTGTTTCGTTTGAAACAATTATAGTATTAAACTTCTAAAATAATAAATATGTGTTTTATTTATCCATGTTAACGTGAGATCAAAAAAAAAAAAATATAAAAAAACCTTTATTTTAGTAGAACTTGTAACCAAGGTTTTGGTTTTGTTCTTTTTATGCTTATGTAGATTCACAAAAGATTTGATTGCCTGATCTTGATTAATGAAGAATATACAATGTAATCTCTATATAATGGCGCATCTAACGGGCATGTTTTCCTCCAATTGTTGGCTGCAACCCTGTGGCCGGGCAGCATTTCTGGCCACCATTTTTTTTTTTTTTGTTTTTCCCCCCCCCTCACTTTTTTTTTTAGCCACATATGGCTGATGTTGCCCCGATGGGTTGGCGAACGACGCTAGGCTATCGAATTCAACTGAATATTGCACAGCCGTTCTATGTTGTTTCAGTCACTCTTTTGTTATGGCATAGTGTAGCCTTTTCTACGCGATGACGGAAGTGTGCCTGTCCCTATATTCTGTTTTGCGATCAGCTGCATTTTGACGTTGTTACTACGTAAAAATAACTGCTTTTGACATTCTAGTAAAATTCTTGAATAATTTATTATCAAGGCTTATTTCTAGGCTCAAATTGGCAACAGTTTCAGGCATATTAAGTAAGGTTTTCTTTTTTTCTGTTTCTTTTTTAATACAATATAAGCTGCTGCGACAAGTGTGTTTGTCAGCTATATGTGCCGGTTTGTATAGCCCGTTTAGGGAGTCCATCACTGCCATACTATTGCAGTATTGCACACATTGCGCTGCATAGATTGTTCGCATGCAAAATGTTGGTATGGCCGGGCAATAGTGCCAACATTGCAGCCATCAATTGCAGCAAAACATGGCCCGTTTAGAAGCGCCATAACGATACTCAGGGACTGCATATTTTGACGTTACAAAGACTTGTCGTTAAACGGAAAGAAGAAAAACACTAAATCCAAAGCGTCTATAGCTATCACACTTATGAGAGAAACTCACGCCTTGTTGCGCTTATCAGTAAAACTTTTTCGTTAATACACAGTAATTTTCTTATATTTGTCATGTTTCCAGTTTGAAAGTTTGTGAGCAAACAAGGTTTTGATTAAACGTATCCATGAGTCCATGACTCCTACTAACAAGTCTGTCTACACATGCAAGAAATCCCAATTATAAACAAATTTTTCATTTGACATAACAACAAGCAAATCAAAAAAGCTAAGAGAATTAGTTTTAACAACCTTTTAAAACTAAATTATCATTGAGTGGCTTTATATTCAAGTGTTAATTTTTTTCATCCTATAGAACAAAGGCAACTTTTAACTTCTCTATTCAAGATGATTATTATTGTATCTTTCTACTTAAAAGATATTTAAAAAAATAATGAATTCACAGAACACTAACATGAATAATTGTATAGGAATAAAATAAATAAATAATAATTCTGTTTATTGCCAGAAACATCAGTTACAGTGTTAAATAACATAGAATCTTAAAGCTAGGCATATATTTATTATGATAAATAACATTGCATAGGCAAAACCCTCAGCTAGCAGTTTTCTGAGCCAGCTTGTATTTAGGCTAAACTGAGAAATTAACTACACATAAAGAATCAAAAGTGTATATAGTAGAGGATGTTATAAAATAGTATATAAAATAAAAACATTACCACCTCATACCTAAATACAATATTTCAATGCATTCAATTATTTAATCTGGTTAAAAAGAAATTAATTCAGATCTTTGTTAAAGTACAATATGATTAATCTATCATGATTAGAGTTAGGGCATCATCCCAGATTTTCAGTGGAGATTGTCGTTTGTTTCAATTGCTTCCAGCTTTGCTTGAGATTTTAGAAGGGTTGGTAACCACGGCCAAATTTCTGTAGAAATTTATTGATTAACGTTAATATCGTAATCCAGCTGATAACTTATAAATTGTTAGTTTCTTATAAAATTAAACAATTGGTTATCAGAGTATGTTGCATTATCAGTTGTTATGAGATTGTTGTCAGAATAGCTCACTGCTTGTGATGGGTCACATAAGCTTCTTATTAAATAACCACCAGCCTGCATTTTATATTCTACCATCCAATAATTTCGAAGATTAGACTCATCTATATTATCTAACGTAACAAAACAGTTTTTATTTTGATATACCCATCCTAGGTTTTCAAATTTTGACGAATGTATTGTATATGCTCTTTTAGTTGAATCATACTTAATTTCCCAATCGCTAGTTACAAGATTTAGATTATCAATAATAATCAACTTTGATTCTTGATTTGAATTAATTACCTTTCTATAATTTGACTTCGTTGCAATTTTAAATTTACCATTCGGTATAGCTGGTTTTCCTATTTTTTGCAAAAACCAACTACTCGAAATAGTAATTCTGTCATGTCCACTTTCTTTACTATCGGTCACTATAAGTTCTTTGCCTCCTTGTGCACTGTCTTTGTCAATCATAGTTATTAACTTTTCTGTATTCTCTAGATCCCTAAGTCTGTATGATCCGTCATTAACCTTTTCGATGCGCCAATATTGATTCTTACCACTGCTCTCGGAATATGCTCTGAGAAACGTTTCTTCTGACGTAGCATTACTATCCCAGCACAGCAAAAGGTCGGTACTTAGAGCATTTTTTATTTTATAAGCTTTTTTCTCTTTATTATATACAAACGTCCATGTTTGGCTATCATTTCCCCTGTAGCTGTGACCGTGAACCAAGGAATCCTCTCGATTGCTATACTCAATAACTATGTCTGTCAAATTACTATTAAATATATTATAATCACCATCTGAGATGGACTGATAAGAGACAGGTTTAATTGTCCAACGTGAATGAATATTGGCATCATCGCTAGAATCTTTATCAACTATTAGTTTAAGTCCGCCTCCTTGACTGTCAAAGGATGCAGCACTTAAAATTAAAATCAAATTTAAATGTTCCAAATTTCTAAGTCTATAAGACCCGTCATCGGTCCGTTCGATACGCCAATATTGGCTCTTGTTACCACTATCTTTATATGCTACAAGAACCATTTCTTTAGACGCAGTATTACTATTCAATGTTAGTAATAGATCTGAATTAAGCGCACATTTTATTTTATAAGCTTCCTTTTCACTATCGTAACTAAACTTCCACTCTTGATTTTCCTTGACAGAGTAGCTTTGAGCATGAACCAAAGAGTCCTCTTGATTATCAGAGCCTACGACTATATCTGGCAGGTTACGATTAAATATATTATAGTGGCCATCTTGTATAGTCTGAAAATAGACAGGATTAAGTATCCATTTTTGATTGTTCTCTTTATCAGAAGAAATTTCTGTATCCATTGTAACTTGTTTTCCACCAAATGAACTAAATATATCCTGAATTGTTATAAAGACATGTAAATTATCTAAATTCTTAAATTTATAACATCCGTCATCGGTCTGTTCGATACGCCAGTAATGGTTCTTGCTATCATTATTTGTGAAACCGCGAAGATTATTTTCTTTAGTCACATCATGACTATTCCAGCTCAGGAATAGATCAGAATTTTGTTTACTCTTCAATATATAACCTTCTTTATCGGAATCATAATTAATTAACCATGTTTGATTATCCCCACTGTTATATTCGTTACTATGGATAATACCACCATCGACATTTTCAGACAAATCCAACACAAAATTATTATATTTTTTACTTTTTATTGTAAATTCTCCGTCTGGTAATGGACGAAAGTTATCAAACTCATCACCAAATGTATCTTCTAATACATCACCGTCATCACCACACATTAAGTCATCATTAGTATCCATTCTTCCTATAACTTTCGGTGTTTTTGACGATGTATTGGTACGAAACTTGATAAGATTTTGGTTCGATGAAAGAAAGTTTGCACGTGTACGCGTAAGTAGTTTAGTTACAAAAACTACTAAAATAAGACTTCTGGGCATATGACTCTTGTGGAAATTATTTGGTTGGCAATTCCTTTGGTTTTTTCCAAATTGCGAATCTCTAATACACGTCACCAATGTTGCATTCACGATGTTAATGACGTCAGATAGATCTGGAAAACGAGACATGGTTAGTATGGCAATGGAGTTTAAATAAAAATACTAATAATTTCTATTAATCCTTGAATTTTAAACTTTCTTATTATTGCAACATCTAGGTACTGTTTTACAACTCGAAGTATTTTTGCAGTTTGTCATGTCATTAAGCTCGCAATATCAGCTTGTTTAAAACCTCTTCTAGTCTATATTTATAGAATTCTAGGTATATTAATAGATTTGATATGGGTAGGAAAGTAAATAAAAAATAAATGATTGAATATATTAACTACCACTTACTAATCGGGATTTGCAAGTGCAATTCTTGTAGATAAACTAGAACCTACAGTTTGATCAGACCATAATGATATTGAATATGCATGAAACGGTATTATAAACGGCTATAAAATCAGCGAGCAATTTCAACATGAGGCCCCCAGATTGTAAGTATAAGAAGCTGCAACCAAAGCATTTGGATGTAAAAATTATACATGACACAATTGGAACCACTCATGGGGGCAATAAGTAGTAAATCAAATACCATGATTTGTTAAATTATTTTACTAGGCACTTAATTAAATCATTAATTACACAGCAAGAGACCTAAGATTTTGTCATCAGTACAAACTTCATTAAACCATAACTATGGACAATGATACCAAAACAATAGGGGCAATCAATCATACAAAATGTATATAATATGTAAAGTTTTTGCAAAGCAAAAAACAAAGTAAGAGTTATGTTTAATAGGTAGGTAGTAGTCATTAGTACCAAAAATACCTATTTATAAAATCTGAACAATAATATTTTAAATATTGATTTAAAGCTTGCTTCAACAATTCCTTTTAAAAAAGATCAAAATTATGGGTAAATTATTACTTATTGTATATAAATTATAAACAGTGTTTTGTCACGTTTTTTCTGCATATTTGACATTCGAAAGTCGTTTTTATCGTAGTAACTAAGTAGTTTTTGAACCTATGTAGGATTGAAATCTTGCAAACATTCATTCATGATTCAACTTTGGATTTTATAGGATGTCGCTAGAATTCCAATACGAAAGAAATATAATTTCCTTAATACTATACTAGGGCTTATATTTCTACAAATTAATTTTATAAATAATCTATATCAGGTAAGAGGTAATCTCCCGAAAAATATAATGACTAAAAGAAGTTTGTTTTGAAAATAATTTAAAGATGCATGCAGTAATATTTAGCAAATTGACGCAAACACTATTTGCATTTAATTGATATTAGTCACTCGGTACTTACTATGTATATTTTCTTATCGCCGGTAGTTTTGGTCGAGTTTGATACGTGAAGCAGCTAGACAACAAATTACCAACTGTCAAAAGTTGTCAACATTCAAGTATTCTACGAGTCCAGGGTTACCAACTCCCGATTATGAAAGATTACCCTCAAGCAAATCTGTGTTATTACAAAAATGTAATCAATTTCATTTTTGAAGTTATACTTCTTTAGGCGCGTTATGAAAAATTGATGAGAGTGAAATTTTACGATGCGCGCGCACCTGAGACACAAAGTTGTCAGTGTGATTATAGCGTGCGCGAGCGAGATGGGAATAAGACAATCTACAAGTAAAAAGAAATAGAATATGCGTGAAGTTGCAGCTATGTCAAGAATTTTGAATGACCATAATGACATTAACCTTTTAAACAAATAAAGGAGTTTTAATTGTTTTTTCAAAGAAATTTAGCAATGCTTTTTCACAAAGACCTATTGTTACTTAGTTAAAAGGTTATGAAACATACCAAGTTATTAAATTGAATGAATCATATAATAAATTAATAAATAATAATAATAATTGTTATTAACATTAATTAATAATTGAATAATATACTAAATATCATTAAATTGTTAACGTTAAATATTAATTAATTATATTTAAAAAAAAAATAAAGAAAGCCAAAGAAGTATAACTTCTTACGCGCGTACACAGTACACGCACCCTTTTTTTTATGTGACAGGAGGCAAACGGGCAAGAGGCTCATCTAATGTTAAGTTATACCGGCACCAAGGACACTCACTTTGCCAGATGGCTCGCAGGTGCATTGCTGGCATTTTAAGAATTGGTACGCTCTTTTCTTGAAGGACCTTAAGTCGAGTTGGCTCGGAACTACTTCAGTAAGCAGCTGGTTCCACATTTTCAGTTATGGAACAACGGAGGTGATACGGATGATATTTTATATTGTGCCTTGACATCTGATGATGAAACTCAGCTGCAGGTATTAATATGAACAGAACTACAAGCTCTGAACTAAAATGCAGTGAATATATCTCAATGATTTAGATCTGTGTTTCATTTGTTATAAATTATAGAATAGCGAACAAACGAATGAAATAAGTTATATTTTTTAGTATTTCCTATGTAGCAAAATTAAAATTAAAATTAAAAAAAAATAATTAAAAAAAATTTAAATAAACATTTAATCCTCATTAGGAAACATGACAAAGAATTTTAAGACTAGAGCAGTTTAGACTACAGACCGGTGGCTTCACAAAAGCTAGTTTTTAACTTAAAAACGCCTTATTTTTATAAAAATCCATATACCTACTACAGTTTTTGTCGAAGAAGTAACACTAAGTCATATAGCAAACAAAAAATCAAGAGAACATAATATATGGAAGACTATCCAAAGCACACCAATGGGAGTGATTAAGCGTTTTTTGGACATTTTACAAATACTTGAATTGTAAAATAATTCTCGATAAAAAAAACGACGGTCTGCACTCCGGGAGTGACGGCAGAAGTGAAAACTTTAATATTTACGTTGTGCATTTTTGATATTTTGGAATGGTTTGGGCATAATTTTACACGAATTGCTTTAATTATCAGTATAAAGTACTATCATTTATGAGGTAGAATACAATATTTATTTATTGTGCTACCGTACACAAACATGGCAATTTATATTACATTAAATAACCCGCGCCAGCAGTCTACTCTCCATCCATCTTACGAAACCTACACAAAATAATTAAAATTATGTAGTATTAAATAATTCAATTAGGAAAATTCACTATTTTTTAAGTTGCCATTCTTTATTTGCGTCAGTCTGACCAAATCGTTAATAATAAAGCTTTAGACGTTTCGCAAAATTAAACCTTGATGTATTGACTTAAGGTCCAATTCCACATGCATCAATGTATCTGAGGAAAGATACAAATGAATTAAAACCATAACTATATAGCACGAAGATTCATAATCCTTTTAAAAAACATCCGTCTTACGAATGTGTGCTTAAAATTTTTTACCCATTCCAAAAAAAGTGTACAACGCCGCTAAAGAAGTTTTCGCTTCAAAAATTAAAGTGGTGATCATATTGAGTAAGATCAGAATTTAAAACCTAACATACAATATTAAAAATGTAATGTATAACAGAATAAGACTTTTGCACCTATATATTTAGCATCAATACTGCCCGTATTAAAGCATATCAATCAATAAAATAAATTATACGTCTAAGTTCCCACATTCGGCTAAAGTTTCATTGATTGGCAACATTAAAGTCATAAAAAGGCAGCTGACCTTGAACGTGTCGACCGCGATACCGAGCGATGCGATTCGTCATCACTCGTTTTGCAAATTCGCAAATCGCAGTATGACGCTGTAAGCGACAAGCGAGTCAACTGGTTGTCTTATTACTTGTTAGAGTAGGGAAGCGCTCTAAAATTATAATATAATTTAGTATCATAAAATATGATTACTTTCTCGCATAACCACTTGCAGCGTTGCTGAAGTAATTATTAACCATAGGCACAATACATTCGCCAATCGTCACTCTTTAACTATTTTCTAAGCATACTTGATTTATGAAACGCAATGAATAAATCTAACCTCAAAGTTATTCAAGATTCACAGAATTATATTGTACAAAGAAAAGTGATTCTTTGTCGAAAAATCTACTAGGTATACCTTTCAGTTTTTTTTAAAAAAAGGTAATAAAATATTTAAAAATAAATAAGATTTTATTAATTGAACCTTTTTCTATTGCTGCATTATTTTACAGCCAGTTCCCATACTAGGACTTTCCTGAATTGTGGGTGACCAGACTCTTATGATTACAAAAGAAGAATTTATCAAAATTTGTATTTACTTTTTATTTCATTTCCTTAAATTTGGGTGTACGTGATATGTATGCGCTCCGAAGACTGTCTCACCTCAAACCAACACAAGTAGTAATTTTTATGTAGCTCCGTAATCTAATTCATAGCAAGAATTTTTAATCTCCGAATTAGCCAAGGAACTCTCTGAACTGGAAGAACCGGTGACCAAAGACAGTGCATTAGCAACCCTGAGAACTGCTTTTTTAATACGTCCTACTTGGATTAAGAAGCAATAATTGAGCAGGAACTGGCAAGAGGATGGTACATTATTTTTATTACATCCTTCTCGCTACTAGCTTTAGTCGTATAAAGATGAACATCTTGTGATGGTCGATTGAAGCCAGATATTGAGGTCAGATGTTCAGAAGGCGTAAGCTGACTAACCTTCCTTTTTCATATAAACTAAATCAGTCTAATGGTAGGACTGTGCACATTTAGATGGCGCTAAAGAGCATCCTGAAGAAACCGTGAGGTCTTTCTCCAGGTCTCCCAAAACTCGATGACTAAGGTCAGGCAAGGCGATAAATACATTTTACTTTTCTATAACCAATATGATCAAGGAAATTATATATAAATCGCGAAAAACTTATGGCCCCACTTCAGCATCTTAAAAAATATTCAAGCAATTTAGCACTGAATACCAACATGAAAATATATTTTCGTTAGTTATTAATACAATAAATAGTGCATCACTGGGCTTATAATTTATCTCAAATCTTTGGTATTATCACCTACAAAAACAGTGTTTAATTTGTACTATGGGAATTCAATAATAGTTTTTTAATTAGCATAAGGGAATATTTTATAAAGAAATTCCAATTTACATTACCTACAGAAAAAGCGAAATAAAACGCATAATTTTATATCAGTTTTATAGATAACCTCATGAATGGTGTCAAACCACGTCGGGTCTTGATAGCATTTTTCAACAACCAATTTGCAAAACGATTTGTTTCCTGCGTCTTTGTGCAAGAAAATAAATATACAGTATAAATGCTTTATAACGTCATTCGTTATATCATAAAACTCTATATAACGCAAAATATAGTTACATTATTTTGTTTGGTTTAACACTAAACCCGTACTTTAATTCACTCTTTATAATTCAACAAAAATTATCTATAACGAAGAAATATTTTCATATTAAGACATCACCAACATACTTAAGTGTAATTGTTTTTATAATCAGCTTACAAAACTAAACTTTTCAGGTGCCGAAATTTCTAAGAGAGACACCTGAATTTTAAAAATGTCTTTAATACTTCTGAATAAATTTAAAATGGAGCTTCATTTATTTAAAAACTTCCCAAAAATATTCTTTGTCTAACTAATTAGAACTATAAAACTCTCAGGTGCCGTTAATAAGACAAACATTTTAATAGCTCTTTGCTATCTGAAACTGGTAACATGATGTAAAATCTCATGCAATTTCTGGAATACTATAAAAAAAAAATTATAAAAGATTTCTGAATCTTTTTCATGATCATTTGTAAATCTAATAGCCAAGTAGGTGATCAGTCTCCTGTGCCTTACACACGCTGTCGACTTTTTGGGTCTAAGGAAGCTGGTTTCCTCACGATGTTTTCCTTCACCGTTCAAGTGAATGTTAAATGCGCTCATAGAAAAAAAGTCCTTGGTACACAGCCAGGGACGAGAGTCGCACGCTGAAGTCACTAAGCCATCACTGCTCTACTGGAATACTACAAATATTACTTAATTGTGAAATGTAAACACAATTTAAAATATAAAATCAAAATTAATGCAACAATTATTTGATTGTAAATGTAATAAATGGAGAAATGTATGTAACTTTTTATAATTGTGTTCAATTTGGGATAATCTCTTTATGTAAACATCATTATAATTATCTGCAGCTTGTTTATTTAAACTGATTTTGTTTTGAATTTATCTTTTAGATAGTTAACGAATAATAACATATGATTACAGAGTGCAGGTTAATAATTGATAAAAATAAATTTATCTAAAGTAAACAGAATATGATAATAAGGTTGCAATAATCGGCATCGAAAATGTTTTTACCTATCAAAATAAAGCCTATAATGAATTAAAAATCAACTCATTGGTTAGTTTAGCTTTGTCCTGCCTTGCGATTCTGTAACTTATAGCGGTGATCTTGCTCGCTGGTTAGGGTCGATCATTTTGAAACCACAAAAAATAATAGTGGGATGAAACCATTGGAAAAGGAGGAGAATATTATAAAAATGAAAGGAAAAATAATTTACGGGCGATCTGAGGTCGGGAAGGGGAAGGGGTGAGGTTTTTTAAGGGTAAAAACGGGTTATCTCGATTTCCGCCAAAACTATTGCCAAATCGTAAAATGACTGCTTCACGACTGATTTGAGCGCGACCGCCGCTGCGAAAACCGCTCTGAGAGTTCGAAAAGTGAGTTACAGAATCGTAGACTGATAAGATTAATATGTCCTTATTTATTCACAGGATTCAACGTTAAAACACATAAATTAAAAAAAAATTAGACATATAAGAACACCAAAAAAATTAACAACGCAATATAAATTACATTTTAATAAGCAGAAAGAAACGCCACAAAACTGAAAAAAGCTCCTCGTAGATCTAGTTAGCGCCTAGAATGCCCATTGTATACGAGTATTATGCTTCTGATTAACTATTTTGTTTATTCTCGATCACGTGTTAAGTTTTGTCGTAAAGAGATAATCCTACACAATTCGTGTTTTCTTCTCACTAGTAAAAAATTCTTTCTATCAATATTATTTTTAATTAACCGATTTAGAAATGCAGTAGGTAATATGAGAATTCTCGTCGAAAACAGGTTTTTTGCATCGGCTAAATATGGAACGTCGATGTTTCAAATGATTTTAATGGATATATGGTTTTGATGTGTATATCATTAGCCTTAGTAATAAGTTAATTATATAAATCTGTTCCACGTCCTGGTGGACAGAAAAACTGTGTCCAGTTTGTGTTTCAACCACATTGTTATAAACTTCTTTTTTATTTCTGATGATAGTGTCCAAGTTATGTAAATGCTCGGTAGATCTGCAACAAATGCGAACTATGTCTACGCGTCTGTCATAGTGTCCTGTTCAACGTACTACTGAAAGCCATCACTTCACATTTTTAATATTTAATACTCCCATTGATGCATGGCGTCCAAAGCAAGTTGCATATTTAAGATGCAAATCCTGGCTAATCCCCGAGCCCATTGCTTATAGTTTCGAGGCATATCCAATTGAGAAATATCGGTTGTGTTAAATTTTTTTAGGTACTTTCAGAATCATGATGCACTTTGCTGTATCATAAATATTTCAATAATACTTATCTTAAAATAATATTAAAATATTTCAGGCACTCCGAGAGGCGCTTTCGAAATTAATCGATAGAGCATTTTTTTTTAAAGACAATTCACACCAATTGACCTAGTCCCATGCTAAGCTGGTGAAGCTTGTATTATGGGTACTAGGCAACGGATATACATACATATTATAGATAGATAGACATATACATATTTAAACACCCAAGACCTAAGCACAACACCAAATGCTCATCACATCGATGTTCGTCTCAGCCGGGGATCTAACCCGGGACCCATGGATTCGCAGTCAAGGGTACTAACCACTAGACCAATGAGTCGTCATTTGCTGCCATGAATGCTATCAGGTCCCAGGGTAGTCCTTTAGCGTGGAAGTTCATTCCACTCCAAATTCATAAGGACCTTAGAGATTTACTAAATTAATGGGTATGTCGTACTCGTATCCAGTCCTAAGTATCGCCGCGCTGGAAAAAGAGTCGATACATTGATGTACTGGATCCCGGATCTTGCTCGCAATGACCTCGTGCGAGCTTTTCGGGGTCTCAAACAGACAGAGCACTCGTCCAAAGTTATGTGTAATAATAAACAGATTTGGTTTACCTAAATGAAAAGAAATAAATAAGCGTGCGCCCGTACGGAATTAATCATTTAACTTCGTAGTTTGCAAGCAGTTCAGTTGGTTCGCTCCTGTGTTTTACCTAGTGTTTTTATCAAGTTTTAAGATTTGAATATTACAAATTACAATGGCTGGTGAGTATTTTTATTTATTTATTTATAATAGTAATTAATTATGAAATAATAAGAAGTACAAGAACACAGATCAATGAACGACGCTTCAATGACCGCCTACTATTGAAATATTGATAAATTTATTGCAGAATAGATTAACAAGGAACACTGATTTTTATTACTATATAGAGGAGATAAGTGCTACCAAGTTGTTACAAGTAACTTTTTAGCAGCTATCATATTGAGAAAAATTATAACAAAACTTAATGAGGACTTTAGCGTAGCGCGTAGTAAAACATTTTATAATCGAGGATTGAGAGATTTTACCTAGGCCAGCTTTGCGTTGGCTTCTCGGGGGTCACCAATGCTGATAAAATATTTATTCCTTCGCTTTAATGTTAAAAATATTTTATAGTCTAAATTTTGGATCGCAATTAAACAAGTTCCAACCGAATTGATGATGGTTTAACAAGGGTGCACACGCGGCCGGGTTGAGCACCAGCTGGTTCATAATATAAATGATACAATTGTAATAAAACTTCTTTAAAGAGAATTTTTGATTTTTTTACCAACAAACCAAATATATGAATCTAATAGTAATAGTACCATAATAAGTCTACAAACAGAAGTAAGTGTAGTAGGTACCCATCATTCTGAAACATATGGAAAATCTTATGAAATAGCGGATATTCACTAACTTACAAAAATATCATCTGAGTGTACAAAAATACATAATCTTAATCTTAATATACTATATAAATTACGTGTCACGTTGTTTGTCCGCTATGGACTCCTAAACTACCGAGCCGATATCAATCAAATTTGCACACCGTGTGTTGTTTGATCCAACTCTAAAGATAGGATAGCCTCTCGTGGGGATAAGCAACAATCACGGACTTACGATGACATTATGTATTATTCTGATGCGGACGCTAGAAGTTTTTAAGGTGCAAATTTTTTTCCATTTTAAATTTTTATACGAGGGGCGGTTAAAAAGTTCGCGGAATGACAGGGAAGGGTAATGAAATGAAACATTAGACTATTTTTCCTTTTCAATGTATTCTCTCATAACCCTAATACATTTTAATCAGATCTGTCAAATAACTTATTAATACCGTCGAAAAGAAAAAGATTTGTCTCGTATATATACCATAATCATCAGTTCCGGAGATCAGCGCGGTCAACTAACGAGTATACTATTCAGCGTTATTATACTTATTGAAATAGTAAAGATATGATAAAAGAAGCGTTTTGCATTCCATAAAAACATTAGACCAGAGACTCCCATTTTTAACATAGCCTATAATTAAGTTCAGACAATCATATTCAGAAATTCAATTTATTTCATAAATAGATAGAAAAGAGATTAGACAAGTCAGGTAAATGTTTCATCTAATATATAAAATTCTCGTGTCACAATGTTCGTTCCCATACTCCTCCGAAACGGCTCCACCGATTCTTATGAAATATTTTATGCATATTCAGAAAGTCTGAGAATCGGCTACTATCTATCTTTCAAACCCCTAAGTGGTAAGGGGTGTCCAGCCCAATTTTTTTATTTTTTATGATACAGCATGCAAAAATGCATACAACCCCTAATTTTCACCCCTCTACGATCAACCCCTATTTTTTATTATAGTAGATAGTTATTTTTATAGAACTAAATAAATATTTCCTAGACATAATATAGGTACATGGCAAAACAACGTTTGCCGGGTCAGCTAGTGTAATATAAAACAAACAAAAAGCAAGTTGCTATAATAAAAGTGCATTTGTTTCAGACCTTCCACCCTACAGGACTAACGGAATTCAGGCAGCAGTGGTAGAATGGATTAGAGCTTTGGACTTAGAAATAATAAGCCTACTACTGTCAAGGGCTTGGCCAATGGCATTATTAGGTATTAGCGAACTTCGATGGAGACCAACCGTATTAACAGATACTGATAACGTTGTACGACTCGATAGGAGGCAAAGATTAGTTAGATGGGATAGAAGGCCGCCAAATGAGATATTTTTAAACGGATTTGTACCCATTGTGACACGGGAGGACCCGGATTGGGAAGAGACAGACTTGTATGGTTTTGCCAAAAATAATCATCCATCCATCTTTGTTTCAACAACAAAAACACAAAGAAACAAAAAAAAGTATGTTTGGACACCGAGAAATGCCAACCGGGGTATAGTTTATCAATACGAAATTTATGCTCCTGGAGGAGTTGATGTAAACGATTCCTTCTCAGATGCATCGCCATGGCCTAATCAAATGGAGGTAGCCTTTCCTGGAGGAATACAAAATATATATATTCGATCAGCAAGGGAACTACACAATGGACGAGTTCAAAGAATTTGGATAAATCCCAATTTCTTGGATCCCGGTGATTTAGAACCCATTGTTTCTTCTTCAAGAACTCTTCAAGTCATATGGGAAATAAATCATCCTGATGGTGGTAATAAAGATCAACGTTCTGAGAGATCAACAAGCTCTTATGATGACTTGATGTACGGTGGTACAGGTAATGTACAAGAGGATACGTTTGGTGATGAGTCTAATAACCCAAAACCAATTGCAGCTGGTGAATTTATGATTGAAAGTATAAAAGATAAAAATTCCTTTTTGGATTTAAGTAAGAATGTCAATGGCGGAATTATTCACAGCAACGTATATAGTGGCGGGAATAGCCAAATATGGGTATTTAGTTATGATGATAATAAAAAGGCGTACAAAATACAAAGTTATCAAAATTCTAGTCTTTATTTGAGCTGGGATAGTAATGCTTCATCTAAAGAAATGATTCTCCGAGGATATACAAATAGCGGCAGCAATAACCAATACTGGCAAATTGAACAGACCGGGAGAAATTATAGACTTAGGAATCTTTTAAATCTAGATATGATTATAACAGCTCAGGATAAATCTAGTGCATTCGGTGGGAAAGAAGTTATTGTAAATACTGAAATAACTAATTCTAATACAAAAATCTCTCAGGAATGGAAAATGATTCCTTTCGATTTTCGGCCGATTATGGATGGCGATTACAATATATTTAATCTTGACTTATCGAATCAAGTTGTTGACTTTAGTAATCAACCCGATTTATTGGTCCACGGGCATGAATTTTGTGACAACGAAAATCAAACGTGGCACTTTACTTACAATAGTACCCATCATGCTTATCAAATATGGAGTGGTCGAAAATCAAATCTTTTGTTGACTTGGGATAGTAACGCTGCGTCAAAAGAAATGGTTGTTCGAGCATATACAGAGAGCAGGAGTAAGAATCAATATTGGCGTATTGAACCGACCGGCTCTAAGTCTTGTAAACTTAGAAATTTGGAAAACTCAAGTATGATTTTAGGTTTAAGTAAAGTTAGCACTTCATATGGTGGATTAAATTTAATGGTTGAAGATGATTCTGATGGTCATTCTAATCTACATTCAGACTGGGATATTAAACTCATCTTTTATCAGTTCATTCCAGATGGCGATTATAATATATTTAATGATAACTTCCCAAATATAGTCGTTGACTATACCAACCAAGAGGGTGCTTTGATTCATGGTCATAACTTCTGTAGCAACAATAATCAAAAATGGTCATTCGTCTATGATGGGAAGAGAAAAGCTTACAGAATAAAGAGCGGTGTTCGTTCAAACCTTTGGTTAAGCTGGGATAGCAATGCCTCATCTAAAGAAATGGTTCTTCGTGCATATACAGAGAGCGGGAGTTCTAACCAATATTGGCGCCTTGACCCAGCCAATGACGGATCATACAGAATCAGAAATCTGCAGGACTTTAAAAAGTTAATAGCTCTAACTAATATAAATACCCCTTATGGAGGCAAAGAACTTATAGTATCAGATAATAAAGAAAGCGGTAACACTTGGTATCTTAAACAACTAGGGGAAGTACCTCTACCAAATAGAAAATTCAGAATTGCAACTAAACTAAATTACAAAAAAGTTATCGATTCAAGTACATCTTACAACTTGATCATTACTCATGACCTAAATTTTGCTTCTAGCATATGGGAACTTGTATATGATTCAAGTAAAAAAGCTTACAATATATATTCTTCGGACATCAATAACTTAGGATGGATATATCAAAATAAAAACTTTTTTGTTAAGCTGGGTAATATAGATGGCCCTGACCATGGAGATCTGAGATATTTTTGGACGATAGAATATAGCATGCAAACTGGTTGCTATTTAATAAGAAGCTTATATGACCCAGCTCATGCAGTCGGTTATACTGACAAGGACTCTGTAATCACCGATACATCAACATACTCCGATAATCAATTATTTCATTTCATTCTAATGTAAGAATTAGATAGAGTTCAATACTCAATATGGTAAACAGTAATTTAAAATGAAATTTTTGTTTTATAACTTTGGTTAATAATAAAATTTAATAAATATATCATAAAACTGGCAATGACAATGACATAGATGTTCACGATCGCCCCCCAATATGTAAAAAGTAGCACTATATTTTCCTTACGTATTATGTAAACGGTAAATGTAGGTACAACTTAAATATCAGCTACTTCACAAAAGAACACCCTAAAACATCATGATAATAGCCTATGTGAAAAACTTTCAATATGTGGGCCCTGCAATAGTTTTCTTAAGTAACACCTTGAAACACGATCTTAACAGCAAAGCCTTTTTCCTGAACTTCAATTTTTATTTTAGCATTACTATGTTTTACATTTGCATTTGCAAATTAAATACTTCGTTTAGCTTTTGATTATTTGTATTAAACAATGATTATCAAATGTATGTCAATAAACTTTATTCACTATTATTTCTTTCTTTTCCTAGTTAATAAAATAAATGAATACAGTACATGTAGTACTACCGGCAAGTATGCTACTTGTTTACCCCATCGCAATATTCGATGGAAATTCCGACTCCAATTTGCGTAAGCCGATTAACTGGTAACTCACAATAGTGATAGCGATTGCGACCACGACATTAATTTTGAGCTACGGATATTGGGGACATTGAAGTTGTATACAAAAATGTCAGAATCGGTATTGGAAGTTACAGTGTTCGGGCTAAGATCTATCTACTCGTATATTTAT